TTTGAATTGGAAGCCCTGGTATATATGCCAACGTGGACCACAGTTTTCTGTCTAAACCAAACAACTAGGCAACCCTTTGTGGGTCATACCAATAGGCACTACCCCCTGATAAGTCGCAAGGTACATCTCAGTCGACTCCAGTATTCATACCTAGGACATTCTAGACTGCCCATTTTATGAAATCAAATGTTTTATTACACATCAGCACCAACTGGGCTATATTACTCCAGTCATATGAAGATCCATACGCACTCCAAATTGACAGTTGAGAGAAATATTTTATACTTTCATTTTTAGGTTGTTTTATCATTTCTGGACATTATATTTTCTGATAAAAATACGTTTGGGGTGTCTAAGGAAGTGACCTAGTTAACCTTAAACATACATTATGCAAGAGCTAAATCTGCCTATTGCAGGTCTTTCTTTAGGCCTGAAATGTTATCTTAATTATTAATTAGACATTAATTAACCTATCCAGACCTTTATCAACTCTAGATAGCATCGCTTAACTGAGATCTTTAGTGGATTATGAGCCGATTTACTGCATAACTTTCCATCACGATTTAATGATTAAATGGATAATCAATACTATGCTGTTTATCGTACTGACTTTAGTAATGATGATCGAGGCTAGGCGGAAATTTCAATCGCTTAGTTCTCGGTTCATAGTGGATCAATTTGAATGAAATTTTCAGCAAATTGCCTTTCCATTATCTAGTTTTTAACTATTATAGTGAGAACTGCCAACTTGTTATCGAATCTCCCATAATGTATCTTTAAGAAAACATATGTTCAAATAGCATACCTAATCCCTTAACATCCTACCCGAAGACAGACAATAGCCAAATGTTTAATTATTTAAGACATACTGAAAAGATTGCTTGGAAAATTAAACTACTATTAATTGAAGATAAAATGACAAAGAATATATGTTTAATTGCAGCCTAGTCATAAGCCTAAACAAGTCAGAATTTTATACACATACTTTCACGTAAAATAAAGACAACACTTTGGGGGGGGGGGGGGGTGGTATCATGTTAAGATAAATTTATCAAAAGGTCTTAAATCCATATTTGTGTAAAATTCAAAAAAGTTATGTAAAATTGTGATCTAGATAAAAAAAAAAAAAATGTAAACCCCACTTCACCCATTATTATTTGCTGCCAGAGCATTCACAAGTTTTTACAGTCATCTAACCATTAACCCTTGGAAAACGTTCATATAATGTAGACTATATAGATATTGCTTCAAGATTCAACAAAGTGTTAAAAGGTTAAAAACTCCTGCAGTGAGTAATAATCAGAAATTGTGAAGATTGATGAAACCTCTATTGATAAATAAACCCACCAAGATTCTACACAGTGATAAAGGACAATAACTCTTGCTGTAATAATTAGAAATTGTTAAAATTTCTATTGATGAAAAACAACACAGCGATGGGCAGAAATGAAATGAGACGACGGACTTGAAAGGAGAGGGAAGACAGTAACATGACTACATTATAAAAATTCAACACAATTTCCACTTCTCCCTACTTTATACACAAATTACATTCTTGTAAAGAGGCATTATCACTTTAGGTCGGGGTCTTTCTCAATATAAACTTTGACTCACCTTTTAAAAAATCATAGCCACAAACCAACCCTACATAGAGCAAAATCTTTTGGTATTGCACAAGCTAACATGTGAGGGTAAATTAAATGTCAACTGTGTTCTTAGATCAGAAATATTTTTTTTATTGATAACTGTAATGCTGGAATGAGAATGCCCCTTTAAAGGAATAAATTTGAAATATACAATGACAAACAAAATATCCTGCTAGCTATATACAATGGCGTCCAAATGAATCAAATCAGTCTTTTTGTGATCAGGATATCACACCCTTAATTCAGTTGAGTTTCAAAATATTAACAGTGATTAATTTGTTCCTTGACATCATTATGTTTCTTTTAGAGATTGTTGATAGCACATAAGTCCATGAGCAACATTAGAAATAGTTATAGGCACATTATCAAATCAATTTTTATCATGATTGAAAACAGCCTTTTAAATGTTCACAATCCACTTCCAGTTGAATAAAACATGACACAATTATATGGAATACAAGTTAATTAGGTATCTATTGCTGAGGGTTCTCTCTCGTTGTCATCCTTCAGTTGATATAGATTCAAACCAGCACCATTCTTTATTTCATTGTCAACCACATTATCAAATAAAATGCTTGCACTGAGAAACACAATAGATTGAATAACTGTTTAAAAGTTGTTTTGGCCTTTATTGCCGTTAAAATAGTCTACTAGGGTATATGAAAGTCTAATATTATTAACACTATTAATCATATTACTGTGGTGTCTGAAGTCTCCAAAAATATAAACACAGTTTTGTTTTTCCCATCCGTAAGAATTTTCCACATAATGTAATATCACAAAGAACTTTTTCAATGTATAATCAGACTACCGCGGAAGCACGTTTTCACATCTAAAGAATTTCCTGTATCACATGTACGTAGATTATATATTATGTGTACTCATGTTTTCATGTTAGCATAAAAAAAAACGTCATTTTAAAAAGACACGAAGTTTTCCCCAGGATTCAAAATCAAGTAATATATAAAACTGAAATAGGGTTTTAAATCCTACTTTTCTGCTCCATTTAGAAATGAAAATTAAATGAAATGGGGTTTAACGTAATACTGTTCTGCTCCGACTGGGATAATGAAGATGGGCATATGCCATATATGCCATACAATGTACTATGAAGAAAATTTTGCCCAGACAGTGCCACTATGGCCTACTCATATCGAATTCCGACGTCAAGGGGTCTTTTACATGCAGCCAATATGAACATGGGACCTCGGTTTTCCATCCCATTCAAATGACTATATGTTGTCCCTTGCTAGGCCCTCTGCTCTGCACCTCTCACAAAGAGGAACCATAACGGAAAATTCCTGATGAACTTTCTCGGCCAAAGCAGGGATCGAACACAGGACATCCAGGTTAACGAGCCAACATCTTACTTACTGAGCCATCGTGGCTCCTGCTCCATTTGGGCTAATGAATGAAAGAAATGGGGTTTAATGTCCTATTTTTCTGCACCAAAGACAGACACATGTCATGCGGCGTAATATAAAATTTCATATTATAAATCCTTTAATCCTGGGAAAAACTGCAATGAAAAGAAATCAAACCCAATTTAATAGATATCATATTTTTATTTCAATTCACACAAAAATAGAGAAATTAACATTTTAATATCTGAACAGAGTTGTATATATATACATACAGGTATGTGTGCAGTACCAGTCAATTAAATAAAATAATTGACACCTGAATAATTGAATTTATTAACAACATGATAATCAGTCTAATTAAAGCACAGGTGATCTAATTATCAAAATAAACATAAAAGGCACAGTCTGTGAAATGAAATGGGGTTTAACGTCCTACTTTGCTGCACTGAATGGGCTAATGAAGACGGGTGATACACCATGCAGTGTGCTATGAGGGACAATTTTGCCCAGACAATAGTGTTTCTGCCTGCCTACTCTAGGTCGCATTATAACTGCCAGGGCTTCTTTTATGTGCACGTCAACATGTACATAGGTTTACTAGTATCTGGGCCTTCCTGACTACAGCACTGACAAGGGGAAGAATTAACCTAGTGAATTAACAATTGACAATGGGAAGAATTACCTAGTGAATTAAACAGATGTGTAATACAATAGCATTATTGTTATTTCAACATTTATTTACTATTTTAAACAATAATTTTTGAAATCAGAATTAACCTGTTTAACTTTAAATTAGACAAAAGCTTGAAAATATGCAATAATAGAATTGATTTGAACTTTTTTTTTAAAATCCATCAAAAAGAACCCCTTATAACAAATAAGACTCAACTAGGCCAATATCCAATAAAATAATTGTAGCAATAGTTTCTGCTTTTCTTGTCTGAATTAAATAAAGATAAAGCTGATCATTATCTACAATATGGAGATCGCTGAAAAATTAACCAAACCTTAAAATACTTCTTCAAAATTTATTTTAGTTTTCTAAACCAGAGAAAACAAAAGCTAAATAAAACGCAGACTAGAAGTGAAAAGAAATTGAAGAGCAAGTTTGAATTAAAATTTAAAGCTGTAGACATACAATTGAACGACAGTATATGAGTTAATATTATATACATCTAAATCTCCATTATACAGGTCATTTAACCATGTGGTCTCGAACCAGTCATTACACAGAAGAAGCTGACAAGCTGACTTTGAATATATTAGATAATACCCCAAATAAAAGGCTTGATGCATCATTTAGAGCTATAGGAATCCTCTGCTAACTATAATAGTGTGAACTGTGAAAGATTAATCTCTAATAGGAATATAAGTCCAAAATTCTGTTCAGTATTAACAAAGCTATGATAAATCGAAATTTCATTGATCTATGCTGGTCAAGTGTAACAAAACGGCACCATCTTTTACTGGTAACAGAGTTTAAATTGTATGGAATCCAACCTGGGAGATTATCTTGCATTCATATTTTGTTTTCTTAATTATAATCAATCTGAATTTTAATGTGCATTAATATTTTAGGCAGAATGCAAATGATGCAGCAAGTCTTAATGTAACAGTAACCAAGTTTAAAGTCTCAGATGTTCTTTTTATATGTTGTTAGAAATACACCAACCTGTGATTTAACTGAACTCATGTTTTGGTTTGATGGAGCGCACTTTGATTCATCTATGAAAACCACGATTGAGCATGATAGAGATTAAATCACTACTCCGGATATCATAATTCTGTAAAATTCTTATGTGATTTTCCTGAAAGCAATCTTTCCGAATCCTTTTAAATCCCATATACACATGGGCCACAAGAGAATAATAAATATGGTGTTATTGCTTAATTTGCTTTTAAATTTAAAAGTATCAAAGCATTTTGTACTCGAGCTTACCAATCATCAGCAGAGTTTCTGTAATTGCTGGTTGGAGACCACTAATGAAGATTTATTATCTATTATACAGCTTTTTAATGAATATAACATTCTTTTTTTTTTTTTGCAGAACAGAAAATAATAAGAATAGTATAGTACATGCAGACAATTCTATATCATACAATCTGCAAACTGAAAACATGGTTCACAGTTTTTATTTCACCATAATTCCATAATATACATTTAAATACATCTACATGTAAACCAATAAAATATAATTTAATCTAGGAATAACAACCTGTTTACCATCGTACCATCAGTTTTACATGTATAATTTTATATACATAAAAAAATAGATCAGAAATATACAACTGTACCTACTTTATCTACAAGCTAAGCCAAAATATTACAAATTATAATAATAATAATAAAATCAATCAAGTTGTAAAGATGTCAAACTTGTCATCCATTATACAGAATCATAATATATATTTACATTTATAACCCTTACATAAACATCTACCTCACCAGGATATCAAATTAAATTATACACATAAAACGTGTTGTTCTTTATTCAATGCACAAATACATGCATTAAATGTCTTTCTCAGAAATACCAAAGGCTCTAGGTTTCAGAAAAACTTGTCTGCTTTAATACGAAAGCTTTAATATGAAAGCAAAGTATAGCAAGCTAAATATCTTGTTGTTAGGGTTGCTCTATTTTTCGTTTTGAGGTAACAAAAGTATAATGCTACTAAACGTTTCAAATTGAAACTGTTAATCATATTGTCACCGAACTACCTTAGTTCATAAGCTATGCAGAAATCATCCAGGAAACCAATTTTCTATAATACACCCAAATTGATCACTGATGATGATGTTGCCTGTACTATATATCTAATCAAAGCTTACTATATATATACAAACACAACACAGTTTATATGGAAATACAATCACTGGTTTATAAGTATAGCACGACGTTTCGACAAGTATTCTCTTATCGTTATCAAGCACAAAAAATACTTGTCGAAACGTCGTGCTATACTTATAAACCAGTGATTGTATTTCCATATAAACTGTGTTGTTTTTTTAGTGTGTTCAATCGCCAAATGCCACTCAAGGATTATATATATATACTGACTGATATGTCATAACAACGATAAATAGCAAAATAATTTATCTCACCAAGACATTCAAAATGCTCATTATAATGATCATGGTGTGGAATATAGAATAATATAACAGATAAAATACATGGCTGTTCTTGCAATACTAAATTTGGAAATGCCCCAAGAACCGATACTATTTCCATTCTCAAAATATGCACATTATTGACACAGAATTTGATGGCAATGATACAGAATTGAAGCCCGAGTTATCTTAAATTTTATAGATATTTCAATCTTAAATGCACACTTGTTAGATTTATCAAACTAATTAACAGATAAAAAATATCATAAATTTGGATATTTTGTCTATCTCCAACTTTGACTTCTACCACGTGATCCTCCCCCATATCCACCTCGAGGATTACCACCTGCTCCACCATAACCACCAGAGTAACCTCCCCTTGGTTTTCCCCTTCCACTGCCTCCATATTGGTCAAAATAACTCTGTACCTTTGCTCGTAATGGAACAGGTTCCCCACCTCCTTGTGGTTGACCGTGGCGTCCACCATACTTCATTCCATCACCTGAATCATCCGAAGAATAGCTCTTCTGGGGAGGACCTGGAGCCTTTCTGTCTGGTGGCTGGCTAATGGTGGCTGGTTTGGTAGCTGCTGGGTAGTCAGAGAATTGTTGTCCACTGTGAGACAATCTTGAATCACTTCCTTCACTGTATTGTCTATCCACTGAACGTTGAGTGGCAATACCAGCAGCTCCTGCACTTCCACCTGATAAAAGTTGCATCAATGCAGCTTTAACACCAGCATTTTTATCAACTGGTGGTGCTGATTGGTCAGTAAAAGCCTTCGTTTGACCAAATCCATTCCCATTACCAGCACTTGAATAATTTCCATTTGAACCATAATTTCCATATCCCGTACTTTCACTTTGTTTAGTCTGTGGAGCACTACTTGCCAACATTTGATTTTTAAGATTATCCAGTAGCTGAGATGTTGTTGGATCGATATTCACATCCAGTCTTTTTGCTATTTGAGCTACACTTAAAGATGTCTGACCCTCCAATAGAGGCATCAGTTGAGCCAGTTGATTTTTCACAAGAGAAGAGTTCACATCTTGCATTGCCATGTCTGTATTAACATTTCCTAGTTTATTTTTAAAATCCACACTAGAGACAGATGATGCTTTTTCATAATGTCCAACTCTGTCGCCCGTTTGTGCTGGAAATGTCTTAGTTTGTTGCCCTGGAGGAGCTGAGCCTCGCAAAGGACTTTTTGAAAAACTGTCGTCACCCCTTTTTAATGCTTCTCTCATCAACTTTTTTCGATTTTTACACCAAAGTTCATGACAATCTTGATCCTTCGGCAAGCTTTAAGAAATAGAAAATAATTGTTTAATACTTTTGAGTGATTAAAGTATGAACTAAAGTAGGAGCTACTCCTCGTAAGGGACTCTTAGTAAAACTGTCATCACCCCTTTTTAATGCTTCTCTCATCAACTTTTTTCGATTTTTACACCAAAGTTCATGACAATCTTGATCTTTCGGCAAGCTTTAAGAAACAGAAAATCATTGTTTAATACTATTGTGTCAATGTCATTAATGTTAGCCCCAGAAAACAGCATAGCTGAATATCTTTACAAAAAAATATTGGCCAATACTGGTTTAAAACAAAAAATTTAAATACTTTTGTGAATGTGATAAGCTTGACCCTAAAGTTGTCCAAAATGTTAAAGGTCAGCATAAATTCCATTCATATGCCAAATGCCCACATAGCCAGCAGCCACAACTGCATTGCAATCACAACAAGAAAACATAATATTAACAATTTTGTAGTTATTAACTTTTATAACAATGACAATTTTTTTTATTTATAGTTTTTTACATTGTAGGGTGTTTTTCATGAAAAACATAATATATTAGAATCAATTAGACCGTTATAATAGCAGCCACAATAAAAACTGGCTTTAAGATTAGCTATATTTATATCTATATATATGATATCGTTGATGGGTTATGCACTGAAGGGTGACATGAACAAAAACTAAGATCTTTTGAAATCCATAAAAACGCTGTAATAGTAACCAAAGCTAAAAACTGGCTTTTAAGTCAAGTTAAGTTAAACTGACTTATAAGTTGTTATATCATAAAGAATATACAAACAATGTAGTAAAAGGCAACATTATCAACAATATTACTTACTCTGGAGGTGGGATACGATCAGGGTTAACATCACGTAACCATGGACTAGCCAGTCCCTCTACAGCTGTACATCTTTTTGATGGGTCCAAATCTAACATACGATCCATCAAATCTAATGCTGATTTCGGCATACTGTAATTTCAATAGATTATCAAAAACAAGAACATATATATTTGTGTGAGAAACGAAAAAAAATAAAATAACAGGAGCGGAAACTTGTTCAAAATAAAATCAATCTTAGCACAGGCCATATAAAATTCAAATCCTGTAGAATTAAAACACTGTGTTTCGAACAATGTTCAAGTAAGAAAACATTTTGTTGTATAATATATGTTTGTGAATGTTGTTTGTTTGAGATGTCCAAAGTGTTGACTCCCTAAAAATACACAAAAACAAATTGGTTGTCAAAATAAAACAATTGTAAATATCACTATACTTACCTGTTTATAAATATTAAATAATCCAAACAATTGCACTAATATATATATATATAAATAAATATAAACAATATGCTGCAAATCAAACACATATAAACAATTTACATGATAAATTCAAGAGGCACGATGTACAATCAATTTGGTATTTAATTGAGACAGGGGTATATAGTCTTCCTTTGATGCAGATATTTATCCAGAGGTAAAAAAGGTATATGACTGAAACTAGCTACGTAAAAATTGTACCTATCTTAAAAATTGGTAAGATATATTTTTCAAACGCTACAAATAACTATAGGAAGAAAAAGCACCAAAAACACACTGGTACCAAATCAGAAGTGAGTTTTGAAACGAACAGTATATCTACACAAACATCTAGGAAAAACTGGCCGATTTGGGAAGAATATATAACCCCGAACCGAGAGGGAAAGATAAAGTATTAATACAACAAAAGATAAAACAACCGGTATACTTACAACGAGAACTCCTCCCGTAGTCGACGTCGATATTGGCGTTTAGGCTTAAATGTGTGAAACAAGGGTAGTTTGATAACATCCGGCCAGTTAGCTGGACAAGGTGAGCCACATGTTTTACTGATTAATTCCAGTTGAGGAAACTCCTGGTTAGCTTGGAAGATGGGTTTTCTCGTAAATAATTCTCCCAAGATACACCTGTAAATAGAGGTAATACTACTTCAATGGGATCTGTCCGTTATTTCAATGTTTCCACAGCCTAATTTAAGATCCAACCATGTGACCAAATTCTTAACAATATTTGAATAAATATTGTTTAAAGGTGCATTCCCACGAAAGTATGTATAGGTCAGGTCTTTCTAATAAAAGTATGGCAAAGTTGGTTTAGAAAGGTAGAGCCAATTCCCTGAAAACCTCCCATGGTGTCTGCACGTGACAAAAATCTTTGGTATGTGTTGATTGAATGGCTAGTGGTTGTGTGAACAGTGAGAGACTTGGACAACAGACTTTGCGATTAAACGATGGATAAAGATGTAACCAAGAATAATCCAATAATTTACTTAGTCTTGAATAATTTAGGTAAATTGACAGTGAGTAACAACAAATACAGGCTAAAAATGAACCCCCTGTCAGTCAAGTCCCATGATAATCAAGACTGCCTAAAATAGATTTTTACGACTTGTCATTCAAATGTTTTGATAGAGATATGAAGACTTTGGGTAGATAAATTGCTTTGATTGTTTTTAGTTTAATTATATCATCAAATCACAAATTGTACAGCAGGAAGGCATCTTTAAACCAACATTACTTACAATTGTTTACTGCATGCATTCCTTTTGCTCATTGTCTATATGTTTGCAACTAATTATAGCCTATTTATATAATTTAACATCACATTCACAATCTTTAAGGCCACTGATCATTATTTGCTGGTTTCTGAATCCTGTCAAAACCACAATAATGTGAAAAGTGGAATCTCAATCCATGGTTCATTTCCGATCAGTACATGTATTTACAAAGATGCGATAAAATAAAATTTCTGACATTCATCATCCTCTACAGACAATATAAAGAAAATGAAATGGGGTTTAACATCCTATAGTTCTGCTCCGAAAGGGCTAATTCCAACTGCCTAGACATCTTTTACGTGCACGACAATGTGTACACAGGACCTCGTTTTTTCGTACCATCCGAATGACTAGACAGTTGTCCTTGTCAGGCCCTCCGTCCTGCACCGCTGACAAGGTGAAACCACGTGGGAAAATCCTGATGAACTAAAGTGAAGGAAAAATCATTTGATGGGCCTCTTTTTAATTTCAATGACTCCAAACCAGAAGATCATCAACGATTGATATTTTGATTTTTTTTTTCTTGTTAAATTATCAATTAAAAGAACATTTTAGCATGGATTATGCTGCCATAAATGAGATATTGTCCGAAATACGCAAATGATGATAGGCAAAAGGGGATTTAACCCCCACTAGACATAAACTAGGTCATTTCGGGACTAACATATGGTTCAATTTATTTCACTAACTCAATGACTGACCTTATGATTTAACGCCACCCCCACCTCTAATCAAATATTTACATGAAATTTCTTAAACAATATTCACTACAATATAATCTTATGACACTGACATTTAAACTATTTGCTGCATGCATTACTTTAATATTTTTAAATAAGAATAAACCTACTGTAAGAAAAACTAAGAGTAGAGAAGTCTATCTTATTTAATTTTTTTTTTTTTTGGGGGGGGGGGGGCCAAACTTCTTGAGTAAACCGAAGGACCCAAAGAAAATCCCCAAGGTAGTACAGGCAACCCTACTCCTCGTCACGTACAAGCAGTGAATTGAAACCATGCCACTCAACTAAATGACAGACCTTTAGTACGATCCAACACACGCGCATTAAACATTTGGCAAACCAAAACAATGCATTTAAGTTGTCTGAAATTGCTTTCTTTACTAATTTGACAATGATATAAACCAACCCTAGACTCCAGACATCAATAGCAGGACCGTATCTTTCCTCTCCTAGTAGAAGTTCTGGTGGTCGGTACCATAATGTTATAACTTTATTAGTATATAGACGATCTTTATCTTCAGCATTATAATACCTAGCTAATCCTAAATCTGCCAATTTAATTTGACCTCTGAAAAAAAAAAAATCGAGAAAAAGCATTTATTTTATACATTTAACTAATTAGAAAGGACACAAATTATAGTAAATTGTCTAAGAGGTGATACAATCTATATGGATCATTTTGACGGAAATTTTAATGTTGAAAGTAAAGTCCAAAGATTTAAATCAGTGATGAGCATATACTGACTAATCATTAATATTATAAACAAATATCTAGTGATCACAAAGTTTTGTAACTTCTAATCAACTCAATGAGCTTAGTAAGCATTTACAACGTTAAGTAACTGACAACACTAAGTATAACAATACCAATTTTAAGAATTGACTCAGTACTAGGTTTAGAAATTGACTTGACACCAAGTTTAGTAATTGACACAACAGTAAGTCTATAAATTATTTCAGCACTAATTTTAGTAACTGAAATGAAATTGGGCTAATGAAGACAGAGTTTAGTAATTGACTCAGCACTAAGCCTGGAAACTATCTTAGTTTAGTAACCTACATGTACTTGGCACAAGGTTTAGTAATTGACCCACCATTAAGTTTATTAATTGACCAACCATTAAGTTTAGTAACTGACCCACCATTAAGTTTAGAAACTGACTCAACACTCAGTGTAGAAATTAACTAACACTGAGTTTAGTAATTGATTCAACACGACGTTTAGCAATTGATTCAACACTAAGTTTAGAAAGTGACTCAACACTAAGCTTAGTGACTAACGATCAACCCAAATAGTGTGGTTGAGTAATCCACTCATCATACACATAACTGACTCAACATTACATTAAGTTAGTGATATCGATTCCTCACAATGTCTAGTCACTGATAATTGACAAGTTTACTGATAATTGATTCATCGCATGAGTAATCAACAAACCAACGAATAATCAATAATCCAATCATATTCCAATTCATATTAAGCTTGGTAAAACAGTGTTCGGTCCGGACTGCAGTGCCAGTTTAGAAGCGAGATTTCTCTCCCCTCACAGGCAAAAAACACTGGATTTATTATATTGATTTTAGAAATCGATAATCAAGTCATCATTAAGTTTCGTAATCTATACCGAGAATATAAGTGGAAGGTCAATCAAAAGGGAAAGAAAGTCCTGATAGAGAAATTGCATTCAGTCTATTGAAAAATTAAAAAACTTTGCACTTCATGAAAGTTCATATCATTGCTTTGGGTAGGTATTGCTTAATTTATTATATTACTTAGAAGTTCAAGAAATGCTTAGTTTTGTACAGAAAATAATTTGATAAATATATTGGAAGTTTTTTTTATTTTTGTTGATGTATATTGTGTGAAAAAAGCAATTTAAGATCATTCTAAAAATGTTCCAATCTAAATATACACAAGACAGAGTCACACTATTTTCAAATAGCAAAATTTAATTTTTTTTTTTTTGTAGAGCCTGTCATCCGAGCTATCTGGTACATGTACGTACTCCTTTTAAAGATGCATTGTGTAAGATTTAGATTAAAAGCTGGCCGTTCTAGCTATAACAGTTCAAAAATAGACAATGCAAAATGAATATATTGAAAATTGCATTCAAATTGCTTTATTCTGAGCTAAATTATTCGAGACTTGGTCACGATTCGCCATTTTTAAATCAAATTAATAAATGACGGCCATCTTTTAATCCGTTTATATCTCCGCCATCCAGTGGTCTAGAGAGTTGTTTATAGGCTTGTGGATAAATGTCTAAATAACAGTCTATATAACATTTGAGTCTAAAATTAAACACTTGCAGTAGGCAGATTTAGCTCTCACATAAGGCATCTTTAAATTTTGTATTCATAATCAAAAGGTATTTCTAGGTAATATGTAAAAGTATGACTCACTTATTGTTGAGTAGAATGTTGGAGCACTTGATGTCTCGATGTAAAAAGTTCATAGAGTGACAGTAATGTAATCCATCCAATAACTGTTTCATGAATGAAGCTATATTCTCTTCTCTAAATGCAACAAAACCTGATTCCAATAATCCCATTAAATCGTGATCCATATACTCAAATACTAAATAAAATGCACCTGAAATAAAAGAGTGAAAAAAATCGTCAACGTCAATCTAGAGATTCTTGTATTTATATATCATGGTAATGATTAGGGTTTTTTTTATAAAAAAAACCCACAGCAACGAGAAGGTTTCATTAATGTAAACCACAGCAACGAGAAGGTTTCATTAATGTAAGCTAGAGAGAATCCTAGTTTCACTTATTTACACAGTCTCGAAAGATTGTAAGATAGTAAAAGCTATGATACACTTTATACAAAACATTTCAACTTGACTAACAGCTTTGTTTTGTTCCCCGTCTCTTGGCTTTTTACCTAAACAAGATTGCATTTGATCAATGATATTGAAGAGCACAAGTATCATGTGACATTCAAAATGATGACTCCCATTAAACATACTAAATCGAAGAAAATTCTTATTGAAGGACTGTACTTTTATAACTTGGGCAATTTTCCTGAATCTACAGTGGACTCTTGTCACTTCCGACATCTGAATACTATGGCATTCTGTGAAATCCGTTATCATTTTCGTGTCCCGATTTATTTTCTTATTACTTTAACCAAAATAGTTTTGAGTAGTCCAAATTATGACATCAATAAGCGGTCCCGTCACACGATTTGCGTTCAATTAATATTGGATAATTCGGCCTTGAATCAGTGGGTGTTAACTGATAAGCAATAACCAATCAATTATCTGTGAGCATAAAACTCTTGTAAGAGAGCACTTGGTATTTGATTTGAGTTTCTCACCTCAAATACAGCGACATTATATATAAATTGCTGAGATAAAAAACCACTCTCGTTATAATTGTGTGTTCATAATGTCTGATCGTACAGAATGTTAATCAGCTAAAATTGACTCTTATTCAATAAAACACATGTACTCTGTCAACCATATTTATTTCACACTAACCCGGACTCCTTCAGTGAAGAGTTCCACTTCCGGTATAAACAAAGTGAAAGTAAAGTGATAAAGGTAAAATGAAAGTATAATTATAAAAAGGTGAAATAAAGAACATTAAGTGTTATCATATTTTAAGTTCTGGGTATTCGAGGGTGCATTATAATAAAACTTCCGGTATTCAAAGGTAAAATAATACTTCCGGTATTCGAAGGTACAATAATACTTCCGGTATTTGAAGGTACAATAATACTTCCGGTATTGAAGCAATTGAGGAATCGGTCAGGCTGTGTAATCCGGCATATTGTATCGATCCCGTACGATGTCCGAATTGACAGAGTCCACCGTAATTTAATTCTAAAATAATGTGATTTTTCTTTGATTTTATTACCCATTCACAATGTTATTTGGTTGTGTCTTGTATACGGTTACTGTTTCTAATTTACAGATGGTACACTATAAACAAGAAACATTGACTACATCAATTTGTCTCGACTGTTTAGCCAAGCTGATTAGTCTATTTCTTTACACATTTTCCTCCTTAAAATGGCACCAAAATCGTTGTTGTCCCTGAACGAGATGCCTTGTTACACCACTGTTGTATGAACAATAAGATTGTTTTTACTTACCTTTGTCTTTTTTAAAGTCCATGGCATCTTGTTTATCAGTAACTATTTCTTTTAGATTTACAATATTTGGATGATTCAGTTGACGTAGTATTTTTATTTCTCTGACAGCTGTTATAGGAAAACCCTCTTTCTCATTTTCAAGACGTACTTTCTTCAAGGCAACATAATCATCTGAAAGAATAATGACACGGAATGAATGGCATTTGATCAACAAGTTTCTCGGTTAGCATGATACTAACTCACTAACTATGTGGTCACAGACTCGATCCCTGTACTGGTCAAGAACATTCCTCATGATTATTTAACTTGGTTCCCCCATTGTCAGTGATTCAGTCATTAAAGGTCCTGACAGTTAGAAATCAAAAGAAGACCAGATCGTAGCACACTGAATTCTATTTTTTCATTCATTTTTTAAAACCCAGATTAATAAGACAGTTTTTTCAAATGACAATTTTAAGTAATGTTTGATTCTATTGATAAGACTGTGTTACCAGTCAATTTCACCTGCCAGTCAGTGAAGACTGGTAAATACAAGCCAACAAAACACCTTGAACTTATGACATATAGATGGCAATCATTAGCACAATAGCTTCCCACCTGACAACACAACTTATTGTAAAGAAAATACCTTACCAGTATATGTATCTCTAGCTTTATAAACTTGACCATAAGTTCCTTCTCCTATAATCTCTAATATCTTAAATACGTCCACACTTCTCTCACCCCAATCTCCCTTACCCTTATCATTATATCGTCTCAATAAACACATCCTGTAAACAAATAAATATAATCAATAAACACATCCTACAGACAAATAAATATAATTAAAGATGCATTATGTAAGAGCAAAATCTGCCTGTTGCATGTCTTTTTGGAAGTGTTCTATAAATTATTAGGCTTAATCTTGTCAAAACTTCGAACAACCCTAAATTTGCTCATAATAAAGTAATGACTGACTGAAATTTTCAATATACTGTAGAATCTGTATGAGCAGCCACTCCTATTCAGCGACATCTCCTTGTAAGCGGTCACGATAAATTCCCCCCGTAGAAATTCTGTTGTTTCATCTCTTTATTCAACGGTCACTCCTCTAACGCGGCCAGCGGTCACTATTTTACAAATAAATTCAACAAAACATCGCCCATTCAACGGCCATTGTTGAATGATACCATCTTGTCGTTCTTTGTAACACCCCCGCTAATCCCGTGAGTAGTAGTTAATTAACTGGATCCCCACTGATCAGGTAAAAAGAAATGTAAAAATAACAATCAACCCGGGATTATCTGTTAATTAATCTTTTGTTTTATTAAACGACTAACCTGATCATTGTTTTCACGCGTAACGACACATTATTTGATACTGATTGAATAAAATAAAAGTACCGAGTTTTGTCACGATCATCTAGTATCTCTTTATTGTTAAACAGACGTTTTAGCGCGTCCTATAATATTACATACAGAGTTACACCCCCTGTAAATAGTGATAAAATTAGCGATGTTTTTTTGTTCATGTGCTTTTTTGATAAAATAAAATGAATTCATCGATTTTCTTCACAAAAATGGATAAATAGTATCGAATGCATCACAATGGTAGACAGTAGTATTGAAGGTTGGTACAAAATGACAAGTTTACAGAAGTTATGTCCGAGATTTGAGTAAAGAATTTTCGTTCGGCGCAAGATTCAGCGACGGTCAAATTTACCGCTTCCAATGCATTTAAGCGTAATATTTAATTTATGTCAGCACAAAAAGCACAAAGATTTTATTAAGAGGCCACTCCCCTTAAGCGGTCAGTTGTGAAAATTCCCTTGGGTGGCTGCTTAATGCAGATTCTACTGTATTGATTTTTTAATATCTATTTTGTAGAAAGAATGGCAAACTTTTATGAAATGTTACACTAAGCGAAGCGTACATAAACAATGTTTCATTAAATGAGTTCAACTCCATCTAAACCATCCTCGTCAAGTTGCGCCCATGAATGGTTGCTTGCAGTCACAAAAAATCACTTCCCAGGAATGGTTGCTTGCAGTCACAAAAAATCACTTCCCAGGAAGTAGAAGAGAATGTGAGTGGCAGGTAGGCTCTGTGTGTAAGTTTGAAAATAAGGCATCTGTCATAGACACTGTACAGCACAAATTTGGGCTTTGTCAGACCCCCCCCCCCTTCCCCTGGTGCCTGTTATTTTCCTTTGTTTTTAGTGATTCTAGTTTGACACAAAGTTCAAAATGTCAAACATGTCCAAGATAAGAATACCAAATTAAATGATTCATCTAATAGATAAATGTTGTAGATAAATAAACTAAACGTTGACTGATACATGCCTTTCCGAAAAGTTAACAATTTGTCTAATAAATAAACGCTGTAGATAATTAAACAGGTCGTTGATTAATACATGCCTCTCGGGGGAAATTTACACGATCAATATTCAACCAAACTATAGTACCAACTACACAATTTTTGGAGTTAACAAACGATTTTTAACGGTTATCAAACGATAACTTGAAAGTACACCATATGTATACTTTTTCAGCTTAAAAATGCCAAAGTACAAGGTACCAGATCTACAGTGTATGATATTCACAATATTTTGTTCATTTCATCTTAAAATAATACTGAAGTTGTACTCTACCTAGGACGTTTGATTTTTGGTTGATCTTTCTTATCACTATCCAAATCTTGAATATATTCTTGTTCATCATCAAACTCTGGATCATCAACATTAGGAGGCATTGGTAGATCAGTTATTCTTCGCCTTCGTGGAGATGGTTCTCTTGATCTAGAACGATCACTAAAAATATAATTAAAGCAAAATTAATACGTTATTTTAAAATATATTTCTTTTTATACCTGGAAATATTTGTTGACAGGATGACTTCATCAAACCACTATAAGAAAACAAAAAAATGAACATGGTCAATTTACCTTCTTTGGGCAACAAAACAGAACAATATTTATTTGCTTAAAAAAGATGCGATTATACCTTTTCGATACAATTCCCATACTATAAATTAGTGTACTCCCATCAGTAATATACATGTTCTAGTGTATTGCTCTGTATAGTTATTAAATACCTCTACAGAATTAGGATTATACAAACTCTTATGCTTCCTTTCTGTTTTGCTCTCACAATTACGAACTACTAAATAATCAATTGAGTACATCTTAGCAAGGACTAAGCCACGAAAAAAATAGAAAGCATCCAAAAAATGAAAATAACACATTAAATATATAAAAAATCCCTGCTATTTGAGTTTCACATCTGCAATTGCCTTCCAAGGTATACTTTGGCTAATCATTAGGGTCACCCATTCCACCAAGCTCAACCCCACCTCCCACAAATAAAATTATATATTACCTATATGGACTAGAGCTGCTTTCAGGAGTAACTTGTGGTAAAGGTAGAGGTTTTCTAGCAGGTGGAGACCGTCTTATATCTTCGTTACTATCAGGTCTAACATTAACTTGGCGGTCTACTTTTCTCTCTTCATATTCATTCCTTCTATCATTACTTCTATCATCATTTCTCCTTTCCTCATTTCTCCGCTCATCAATTCGTCTATCCTCAAGGTGTCGTTCTTCAATCCGTCTCTCCTCCAACCGCCTATCCTCTATCCGTCTCTCCTCCAACCGCCTATCCTCCAATCGCCTCTCCTCTGTCCGCCTATCCTCTATCCGCCTTTCTTCTATCCGTCTGTCCTCTATTCGCCTTTCCTCGATGACACGTTCTTGGCTATTATTGTTTTGCACTTGAACACTAATCCTCTCTTTTATAGTCTCTTTCACCAGAATGCGTGGTGGAGAAGGGGAGATAACTATTGGATCACGAGATGAATGTTTATCATTAACAGTTTCTTTGTAGGGCCGTTTATTATCTTGTAAACGATCATTGCGTAAGGCGCGTGCTCGTTTATGTTTGCTGATTTCTGCTGCCAAACTCGATGCATATTTGACAGTTGATTGACTTATCGAAGAGTTTCTATTAGTCGCTGATCTTCGAGCCGGTTCTGGAGAAGGACTCTGTGAGATTGAATAACGACTGGAATGTGGATACTTGTTGCGAGATCTGGAACGACTTCTACGATTGGAATATTTCTCTCTATTTACAGGTGATTCATATCGATTTCTGTTCCTTTTACTGTGGAAAGAAAAAAAGAAATTCAGTATCAGTCAACTTTTCTAGAATAAAATCACATCGAAGAGAGAGAGAAATGGGGTTTAACGTCCACTCGACACAAACTAGGTCATTTCGAGACTAACAATTGGTTTAATTTTTTTATTTCAATAATTCGCTTGCGCGTAGGGGTCTTTAGCAGTGGGAGGAAACCGGAGGACCCGGAGAAAACCCACGAGGTTAGACAGGCAACCCTACTCCTTGTCACGTACAACCGGGGATTCGAAACTCCGCCAGTTGACTCAATGACAGACCGTATGATACAGCGCGCGTGTGCTAATCATTCGGCCACCCCACCCCCCCAATCACATCGAAGAGGATCAGTCCGGGACCTCATAAAGGATATTTGACAGGGAACAAAACGTACGCACACACACAGCTAATTTCGGTCAAGCAGCCCACAAGGGTCGTCACATATCATTGCTTATACCCTCTCTCCACATCAAAGGAAAATATATGTAGCTTTAAATAGCCTATTTGTAATCATTCTTAGCATGCGGCTGGTACATGTACGTGTAGCTTAGACTACATCATCGTCTGATTTCTGGTGTCATAGCAGAAAGGACTGATAAAAATGGTCGATGGGTGAGTAGTGAATAAATAATATACATGAACTCTTTTTTATATAATCTTCCTTCGATAGGTTATACACATGGAAGAGACTCCTAGCTGTTAGAAAAATTTGGGTGAAAACTTCTAAACTAGCTTATGTCTCAGCCAATCAATCTTTTGAATCTTACTGTTTATCGTAGTGAATATGGTTAATTTTGGTGCAAAACCTGCACATTGTATTCCATAAGTCTACTGTCTGAATAACAAACAGTACTGTATGATAATACACGCAATCTTAAATCCCTTTTGATGGACGATTAGGCTATCAATGTAATTTTAAAATACATTCTAATAAAGATAATCGATGTCTAGACTCCTGTTCACAAATGTTTCGCTTTCAGCTGTTGAATAAACCAAGAAATAATTTATTCGGGAATATTTCTGCTGATGCGTGAATTAAAAAGCCAACAGTGAGGCCGATGTCCCTCGCCAAAGTCCCAAAATAGATGACACATATTAATCGCAGTTATTTTTTTCAAAAGTATCGAGCAATCAAACTGATCATCAACTATATCAGATAGAATCAAAGATATCTTGTCCCAAAGCATCGACCAATGAAACTACTTAGCTCGAAATGTTAATCATTGAACTCAGTCAAGACATTCACTCAATGAACATCTACATCAAGTTTTAACATTCTACCTCAATTAGAAGCAGGGTTGTTATGTTCCAAAGTGATAACCAATCAAACTGCTTATCGCTCCTTAGCCTAAGCAGAAAATTCTCATCATCGAACTTAGTCATGGTAATGATATTATTAATGAATCTATAAAAGAGTTTCATAGCTCTCACTTAATTATAACCAAAGTTATCATGTTCCAAAGCATCAACCAATCAGATTTCTTATCTCTGCTCACCGTAAGCAGACAATGTTCATCAACATACTCCATCAAGGCATTCACCTAATGAACGCTTGCACCAAGTTTGAACATTCAACCTCAATTAGGAGAGTTATTGTGTTCCAATGTCTCAACCATTCAAATTGCTCATTATCGAACTTAGTCAAGGTATTGATGTAATGAAACTATACACCAAGTTTCATCACTCTCACTTAATTAGAACTAAAGTTATCATGTCCCAAAGCATCAACCAATTAAATTGCTTATCTCTGCTTATCGTATGGAGAAAATGTTCATCTTCTAACTCCATCAGGGCATTGACCTAATAAACACCTACACTAAGTTTAAACATTCTAGTTCAATTAGAAGGAGAGTTATTATGTCCCAAAAAGTGTGATGGACAGAGTGACAGACGAACCCATTATAATAATGTCCTGCTTTTTTCAAAATGCGGGGGACAAATATGGAAATTATCAATAAGTGGTGACCATTTTGTCATAATTTTTGTGGTAACCATAAATATCCAAAATGAATTAAGAAAAATGTGACATGGCAACCAGAAAATACTTTTCTATTTCGGTGAAACCCATACAGCATGAGAAAAAGAGAGAGAGGGAGATCTTATGATGCAACGCGCATTTTTGCCATTATCTATTATTTTAATCATAACATTTCTACTCGTGTTTCCTTTTAAATTGAAATGTATTGCGACCAGTTTTGGCCTATTGTGTCTAATATCTGCATAGTGTGCTTATTTGTAAATTCTAGACTACGTAGATAGGGATTGCCTACTGTGTTAACCTTTATAAATTACAATAGTTGCTGTCCTTAGGGTATAAGGAATAAGTATACTAAGTTCCAAGATAATCCATTCAGAATTTTTGCCTTCAGACGCTAAACACAAAAAAAGGGCGTGGCCTGCCCCTGGGGTTCGGACGTGCACCCAAATTAATAGTTGGTGCCGTTAGGCTATAACGAATACAAGTTTGAAGATGATCAATTCAGAATTGCAGCCAGTATACGATAAACACAAATATTGGGGGTGGCTGTGCCCCTATCAGTCGGGACATGCACCAAAATCAATAGTTTCCGTCCTCAGACTATAAGGAATACTTATATCAAGTTTGAAAACGATTCATTAAAAATTGTCGCCAGTAAGCAACACACATGGTTTCACAGGAAAAATGGGTGTGGCTCAGCCCCGGGGAGTCAGGTATTCACAAAAAAAGAATAGGGATCATCCTTAAGGTATAAGGAATAGGTATGCCAAGTTTTAAAAGGATCTGTTAAGAATTCCGGCCTGAAGGGGACACAAAGACACACACAAAAATTGGACGTGACTCTGTCCCAGACTCCCAGATGGTCGGCATGCTCCAAAAATAATGGAGGTCATCCTTAGGGTATCAGGAATAAGTATGAAAAGTTTTCAAGACGATTCATAAAGAATTACGTCCTGTAGTCGACACACAAACACAAAATGGGCTTGGCTCTGCCCCTGGGGGATGGGCATGCACCAAAACCATTAGGGTGGATCTTTAGGGTATATTATGCAAAGTTTCAAGACAATCTATTAAGAACTGCACCCTGTAAGCGACCAACACATCCCGGGGCTACAGCATAACAGTCCACATCATGAATGTGGACTATAAAACGTATGTCCCTTCTGTTGGTCTGTTGGATGGAGATAATTATGTCATACCTCTCTGCAATGTGAATGAGTACAGATAGTCTAATATCTATTTTCCATTGTAAAAGTATGTCTTTGCCGTTATAACTTAATGATAAATGGAAAAGACTGATTGTAACAGGATAGACAAAACAAAAGGTATCTTGTTAAATAGGCATTGCATAATCATTTTTTTTTTATGGTGTTTAAATGGTTTTCAAACATTTATTAAGAAGACAAGCCAACACTGGCCTCTCTAGACCAATTGATTGTTCTGATTAGACTGGTTTCAAATTGATCGTATTGAATATAAATGTTAACCAGATATTGCTGATAATTTACTTTAACAGCCGATGTGAACAAAGCTTAAGAAGTTCACAGGAAATGACGAACAACAGACTATACATGTACATCCAGCTGTTAGAGGGAAAATATTAAAGAAATACAGAGTGATGCATTAGGCTAGAACAGAAATGCAGTTGGCAAAAATAAGACCCAACACTGCGCAAATGAATAACCATACTCTACTGCAAATGTCAAGAAAAATGAAATCTGGTTTAGGAAATGTAAAGTTTTATCTAGAAGATGTTAATAGCATTCAATCTAGTGGAAAGAGAGAAACAAAAACCTAAAAAGAAGGTCAAGATGCAAAAGAGATATCTCACCGATACCTTAAACTTGTTCAAGAAATACAAATCTCAAAACAGTAGTCATAATTTGTCATAAACTTTGATTTCCATTTACCCATTTGAATCTTGTCAGTGTAAGTTGCGATGCTAACATTGAAAAGGACTGAAACCCCATAGGTACTCCTGGCTTTCTAAAAACTGATACCAGTAATTTAAACAATAGTGTATCTGATGTTGTGTGTTCAAAAACAAACTATAAATGTATGTTCGGATTATATGGAAAAGTTGAATGACTATTCTATGGCGACCAAGACAAATAATTTGAATGATGAGGTCTTGTATGAATAATGGCAGACCACTCATATTAACATCTTTAAGTTCTGAAATTCAAGAAAGATATGGGTCAGCAGTCAGCTGATGCCTCGCCAGTATCGAATTCAACATCAATATGCCGAGATAAAAGGGATAAAAATAAAGCAGCCTTAAAAGCCAGATGAGTGCATCCTTCATGTGGGCTACAGTGAGAATTACTGCTGTAAAGCAGTACAAGAGGTACATGTACATTGTACAGGCTATGCACTTTGGTGACAGAAAGGAGTTCTTCACACAACTCTCCATGGAGAAACTATTATTGCACGGGGAGTGAAGATGGTCGACATTCTCCTGCAGCAATTTGGGCCAATCTGCATCCAGTATTGTTGGACTTGAAATCAGTGGGAATTAAGATAATTAATTTTGTGTTTGATTGACCAACTACTCAGTACAGAAATACAAAGAATATTCTGTATTTTTTTCTACTAGTACAAGACTTCCATACAAAAAATATTATTTAGAGTTAGAGATGCTTTTCTAGAACTTGTTTGGGTCCTCACATGGTGAAGGACCAGATAGAACAGTACATGCAGCAAAGATATTATGACTTTGAGCATTGACACACATTGATATTCAACAATAGGTTATCTCTTCTTCTGATATGGATGATATTGAATGCCTGTATCATGAGTCTATACATGTATATGTACCAGTACATCTACTATCAAGGGAACGATGCAAATTCATCAAATGACATAAACAGTTTATGGAACAGTTGTAGCACTGAAAGCTTTTTTGTTATTGTCAATACAAGGTCATGAAGGTACATGTACAGGGCTGCCGACAACCAGTATCGACAACCAGTATATTTTGTCCGTTGCTAATCAAAAATAAAAATCTAACGTTTTTGATTCGCAGTAACTGCGAATCATTAATATGCCTGTCATTTTGGATATTGACACAAAGATTTATCCACATTTCTCAACACTTTCAACGTGTATAAAATATCAAATAAATTTTATAAACAAAACGGAATTCTCCGTGTGACATTTTCTTCTCGAACTACCCAGACTCAATTCATTATACTATATAATACAGGGACATAACTCTATGAATTGGGACTATTAAACCGGAAAAAATAGGGAATCAAGTACATGTAGTACCACTCACGTTGCGAGACATGTCAATTTCGAGTAATTATATCAGTATTCAATTTGAAAAAAAATACATTCAGTGTATCCACCACGTATTGTAAATAAAATATAAAAAATAAATATGTGTAAACGTATTGTAAAATGAGAAATCAAAGTAAGAATTCCCGTAAACTATTATTGTTTATATCGCGTGCGTCTAGTTAATCGAGATTATTCGTAAAATACTGTGTGCTTCCGATTGAACAAAAATAATAACACACAATAAAAAGCAGACGAAATTGTTTTTTAATGAAGAAATAAGAAGCCACTGCCAAGAATTGGCTTCAGACATAAGGCCTAACCAAAAGTCTACATTCATTCAGAAATGTTCACAGCTACCTGTAGAAGTGCTAAAATTCTAAAAAAATCTTAAGAATGAAATCTAATCATTTGTTATCAATTAAAATTAAAATAATCTTATTTAGGTGTTTTATGTTGAAACTGAAAAACTGCTAATCAAATTTGGCAAAATTGGACTTTTTGATTAGCACTGCTGCTATTGTGCTAATCATCTGTGAAAAATTACCGTCATGTACATGTATCTCATGATAAAATATGTTCCTGCCACAAGCCAGAACATTTTTGAGTTCGAAATTCCATCTGCCAAACTTTCTGATTAACATTCATGAAAAGAATTACAATGCAATATATTCTTAAAAAAAAAACAGAACATAACTTTCTATATTTGGCATCCAGTTAAACAGCAAGAAAAAGTTGTGTGTGTGCCCTCTCAATGGGGCTTAACGTTGGCTTCCACTAAGGTGATATCACAAAGAAATGAAATGAAATGGGGTTTAACGTCCTTGCCAAGGCCAACCGTCCTGCACCACTGACATGGAGAAACCACGTCCAAAAATCCTGATAACTTGCTCAGGTAATGCAGGGATCGAATACAAAATTTGGATAGTCGAATACTAAAATATGGCCAGAGTTTCAACACTAGGTAAAAGTTGAGCAAGATCTATGAAATAATGAATGGAATGGGTTTTAACGTCCTACTCCAAACTGGGCTAATGCAGACGAGCATACGCCATACAGTGACCTATGCTTATATCGAATTCCAACTGTCAAGGGATCTTTTACGTGCATGCCATACACAGGACCTCAGTTTTTTGTCCCATCCAAACAACTAGATAGCTGTGCTTGTCAGGCCCTGTCCTGCATCACTGACAAGGGGGAACCATCCCAGAAAATCTGGATGCACTTTCTTGGCCAATGCAGGGATTGAGCATTCGACCTCCAGGATAGTGAGCCAGCGTCTTACCAACTTAGCCACCGTGACCTCGTCAACCAAGATCAGTCCATTCTTACCAGCCTGGACTTCTTCTCGAGTTATAAATCTTTATCACCCAATAACAACGTATTCTACTGTAGATATTGCTTGTGTGATAACTTTCATCATCTACTGAGCGATATCTCCTTCAGAAATCTCGCTTTACATGAATTTGATTGGTCAATTAAAAAGGAACTACTTTTTGGATCCAGTAATATTGTCGGAGGAAAGTTCTCAATTACTATAAACGTGTTGCCTTCGTAGTGGCTTTGACCTTAGAGGAAACAGAAGGTCAATATAGAGGACTTTAAATCTACATGTATACTTTAAACTAAAGGGTGGGGTGATAAATAAGAACTCCTACTTGTCTTTTTTACATCCAAAAAAGACATGTAGTAGATTCTCTACAGTGACAATTTCATTAAAAATTCATAATTACTTTTCAAAATTTGTCTTTACGCCAATTACGGTTAATGTTACATTTTTTGTGAAAAAAGCTGACATACCAGGAGAGGATTGAATAGATTTGGGTCCTCGGATCAACTAGTTTCCCTGGTCTCCTAAGAATGAGAATGTGAAACTACATGTAGCATGATTCACTATTCACGCACAGTCGCACTACACTTCTTCTAGACCATGTTTCTCCTCGATTTTAGGTCATTATATTTTTCAGTGGACAATAAGGTGAATTTTATCCATTTTGAAAAAATATGGCAATTTTTTTCTCTACTCTTTGCCCTCTGACCATGTCCGACGGCCCTGTTTGCCCCTGTACATGTATACTGTATCACTGATCACTATACTTGTAATATTCTTTATCTTTACTTTAACTTAAAGGGGCATTAAGGGAGATTAGATCAAGAACTGACAGATTTCGCTATAACAGCTAAAAAATAGATAATGTAAAGAGAATACATGTATGCTGAAAATGTCAGTCAAATTGCTCCACTCTGAACCAAGATATTAGCGAATGAATTTTAGGCCTAGCCTCGGGCTCGATCATCATTACTAAAGTCGTACGATAAAATACAAAGTCTTGATTATCCATTTTGACTTAAAATCATTCATCACAAAATGTATTAAAATCCAGTAAATATCACAGCCTAGCGATGGCATCACGAGTTGATTATGGTCTGAATAAGTTAATTGATATCTAATAAATAATTTAGATAACATTTCAGACCTAAAGAACGACCTGCAATAGGCAGATTTAGCTCTTGCATAATGTATGTTAATTTATTGTGAATAATCACACCATAATTGCATTTTATAAATTAAAGATATTCATGGCCCTTAAAATTTGTCGCTGCTTTTGTTCTGCAATTGTGTTAAAAAAAACCTCAAAATCATCCCACCCTACCGTAGCAGATGGAGGGACTAAAATTATGTTAAGCCTTTTTTTATTGCCAAGAAGTAAATACTACTCGCGGAGAACGCCGGTGTTAGGTAAAATTGACAATCGGAATCGTTTTATAATGGAAAAGATATGTTGACATAATTACATACGTACTTGCCGTATTTAAACGATTTATGAAGCTTTTCCGGTGAGTTTTAAGAGTCGATGGGGCAGGTTGACAGCCATCCCAAAAGGCGTGTGGCACATTCTTAGCGGGTATGGAGTGTCTCCCCATACAAAAATTACAAAGCCAAAAATGTATTTTCCTGCTATTCCAGGAAATAGCCGTGTGGTTTGCAACCAAACTCCCACGTTATGATCATAACTTATGATGCCAGCCTGAATTCCAGATTTTGGAAAAGCACCCCGTCGGGAGGCAAGGAAGGCTTCTCCGAGACAATTTAGAAAATTAAGACTGCCTCAATGCTTTATAAAAAAAATATATCGGACACTATATTTTGCTGACTAAAGAATCAAATTTTTTTTTCCACTCTAAGCTACCTGTTTTCCCAAAAAATTGATGAAACAAATAATGATTGATGCCTGTAAAATTTCTCACAAATGTTTGTTAGAGTATTATTAATCAGTAAAGTTGTTATGAGTTATTCTATCGAAACAAATCTAGGCCGATGTCCCATTTTATTTTGACCTTGCCAATCTTCCATTTATAAACTGTAGTGGCTACATACATGTAATCTATAGGCCTACCGCCCTACACATTACTGTGAAAGCATGCAGAGATTACTAAGCCTTAAAATACAGTACATTGGAATGATAAAAGTCATAGTAATATGAAACTTTTGGGGTACGGATAATCATTTTACTGTAGTTTACAAACATGTACGGTATGAAATTCATGTTTAATGAGACTCCCATTTTTGTGTTATAGGTTTTAATCTTAAATACCTGACCCTAACCCTAAGAGAAAGTAGGAAGTTCCATGTGGACACAATACGGACGGCTAACCGCTAGTTTTTCGGTGTAAAAGTGATGGAAATAGAAAAGGGAGACGGATCAAACATGATTGTCGAAATTAATACGAAACTATGCAGGAATATATTTCATCCAAATTTGTAATAAAAGGTTCTGTGCTAAATACATACAACCAAATTACACCATTCTCTGTGAACAGTTGATAAATTGACGGACAGCTACATGTATGTACAGTGTAGCCTTTATTAGTTTCATTGATCAAATTAAATGTCAAATTTTTGAAGCATGACATCGTATATAAATTCCATGGCAACATTTGTTTTATTTGGTAAGATACCTCTGAATATAATAAGTGTGACCGTCGTTGGGGTTGAACCACGATAATATTACAAATTTCTGATTCCCTGACAGACCGCACTACCGATATTTGGTTGTTTTATTTTTTGCGGTTGTCCCAGAACGCCAGGCTAGCAATTTTGCAAACCCTGGCTGGAGTTTATTGACATTTACCACACAAACATACAATGTAGAAGCTTCGACAGATATTATACTATAGCATTAACACTATCAACAGCTATTCAAAAGTTGCAACCGGCACACCACTTTTCCGTAAGCTTACATACATCACAAAAAAAACACACAATTTTGACATTTTCTGTTTTGTTGACTGTATATCTTACCTATTGCCTAAACTTGGACTTCTCCCTCGCTCACGTCTTTTAACATGTAAAGGACTTCGCGACCGAGAGCGATATCGTTTACTATTACGTGGTGGACTGGGAGATAATGCACGAGGGCCTGAACTGTATGCCTTTGGTAAATCGGCATACGCCCTGGGTGGTTCAGCTGGCATCCTTGAATTAGAGGACGAATATTGTTTTTCTATTTCTGGCGAATACTGTCTTCTTTTACTAGATTTCTGTCTTTTCGAAGTTATGTCATTTCTGTATGGACTAGGATCGCGTACATTAGGTGAATTACTTAAACTTCTCGCATTCGCATAGCTCCTAATTAAAGTGGCTGGTGAAATGCTGCGCCGATTTTTGTTTTTTCCACCCACACGACTAGGCCCGGTTCGACCGGGTGGCGACCGAACAGGTTCACGTTGAATAACTTTGTCTGCGATATCAGAATCACTACTGATATCATCATAAGCCTGCACAAGAGATTTTCCGGGGTTATCCGCGTTCGGTCTCTCTCGTTCTCTTGATCGTGTCTTGTGACCCTTCTGTTTCTTTGATTTTCTTCTTCGACTCGATACATGTGATCCATCGCGAGAACTTTCTCTTGGCACTTGAACATCTTGTGGCTGTCCTGATCCAGGAATTAAATGGGCATAGGATCTGGCATCAAACTCATCCCCATAAAAAGTGTGTTCTGATTCTCTTTTCCTGCTCGACGAATTTGAGTGGCGATGCTTTGGCATAATTTATGACTAAGCAAACAGTAAACAAACTGTCTGCTCAACAAACACTTCTCAGAAGTGATCAATCAATTGATTACCACAGGAGCAAACTCTGCCATGTATTTTTTTTGTAAACCGTTGCACTGTCGTTTTATCAAACTATCGCCGTGTCTAGCCATTACTGCATTAGTTATTGCTGTTTGCCACATCAACCAGACGAACAAAAATACTTCCCGTTAGCCAAAGTAAGCCAGGTTATGACATTAGATCCGATGTTAACATCACAAATAAATATCCTTTTACAACATATGAAGTTGTTTCTTCTGGATTGCACATTAAACAAGAGATTTTAAATAGATTAAATCACAATATTTTACTTTCAGATAGCCATTTCCACCGCTAACATCGCACAGTCAATGGCTTCCGGTAAAATATTTCATGACATAAACCTGTGACGTAGTACACAAGTGGTCGTTCAGGAGAACGGAGATACCAGGTTATTTTTCTATTTCAAGAGAATTTTTGTTATAAATTTATCATTAAATCCCCCCTATAATCTGTTGATATCAAATCTATGCACGTCTGCCCTGTCACCCTGGAATATTTTAAGAAATAGCCTATTTTCGGACGTATCCTTTAGATAGTAATGCTTGGAGTTGTAGTCTCGGTTATGTAGACATATTTTAATATATGGAAATAATATGCTGACTGGAAAATCGAGTATTTGTCTTCTTTTCTTCAGTAAAAGTAAAACTAAGCATAGCCTGCAGCTTATCATCTTCAGAAAATCATTCTTGGATCTAGTACAATAAATTTAGTTAAAAAAATATATTTTATAGTCAACTCATAATATTAACTCTAGTCATTCGGATGGGACCAAAAAACATGGACTTTTGTCCAACTGTCAAAATGCCAAGGGTTCATTTGATTTTTTACATGCAAGACAGCAAGCACCGGTATAACTACTCAACTTAGATTTCCTGACTATACAGGACTTTATAGTTAAGTGAGCCAGCTATTTCCTCGCAGAGCGGGGGGTTGAATGGCCGAATGGTCATTGAGTCAGCTGGCGTGGTTTCGATTCACCGGTTGTACGTGACAAGGAGTAGGGTCGCCTGTCCAACTTCATGGGTTTTCTCTGCGTCCTCCCACTGCAAAAGACCCCTTTGCGGCAGCGAATTAATGAAATAAATTTGAACCATATGTTAGTCCCGAAATGACCTGGTTTGTGTTGAGTGGATGTTAAACCCTCTCTCTCTCTCTCTCTCTCTCTCTCTCTCTCTCTCTCCTCACAGGGTTGCTGTGACTCCAGATTATAAAAGTGTAAATTTCTGACGCAGTAATAGTAATATTGGCGTCTGTGTACATTTCAGAATGCTGTTATGTGATTTAATGTCTGCTGTCCTTTGTTCTGCAAAGAAAGGATCAAATATCGCAACAATCATCCGATCTAATGATGCTTTACTACAATTACTGGTTGAGGAAAAGAAAGGAGAGCAAAAGAATGACAGGTTTCTTCAAGATTTCAAGACACTAGCTGATGTGTTAATACAAGAAATGGTCAGACATGATTTAAGTGAAAAGGTATTAAATGTAGATATATTTATTTTTTATCAGTAATGTGTGAAATGTGACAGGTTGATCGTGCTATGATTCAAGCAATAAGCTACACACTAGACCTGGGATACTGGCAACCATTTACGTTCCATGTGCCAAATATACTATTCAAAAAAAGTAGGGGATATTTGATTTTTAAGTGTTATTAAAGTCACCTAATGAAACTGACGAAGAAACAAATGACAAAATGAAATGAAGTTCACATTCATTGATTTATTCCAAATGATCGTTAAACTAAGTAAGGCACAGACTGACCATTATAAGGGTAAAATGATACCCGGGGTCAAACAGCAAAGTTACCACAGCATCACAACCAAGTCAGTAACGGGTAAATCCTCCTCTGTTTGCCAAACAAGCATTGATCCGACGTGGCATACTCCTAATGAGACGTCTAAGGTCATTTTGGTCCAGATTATCCCATTCCTGTTGCAACGCAGCAGCAAGTTCTTGGACATTGGCAGGACGTTGTTGACGTTGACGTAACCTCTGTCCAAGCATGTCCCAGACATGCTCGATGGGGGAGAGGTCGGGACTCAGTGCTGGCCAAGGTAATGTGGTGATGTTCTGTTGTTGGAGGTAACCTGTAACGATCCTGGCCCTGTGACATCTTGCGTTGTCATCCTGGAAGATGAAACAGCGGCCATGACGTCGTGCGAACGGCACAACATGGACTGCCAAGATGTTGTCCCGGTAGTACTGGCCTGTAACACGCCCTGCAACAACATGTAAAGCCGTTCTTCCAGCAACAGTGATGCCTCCCCACACCATAACAGAACCACCCCCAAATCGATCATGTCTGATGACGTTAACGTCTTGGAAGCGCTCGTTTCGACGACGCCACACCCTCCTACGTCTGTCCAAAAAATCAACAGTGAACCTTGACTCATCTGAAAACATCACATTGCTCCAGCGTCGATTATCCCAGTGTTGACGATCCCTACACCAACGACGTCTTGCCTGAATGTGATGACACGATTTCTCAAGGCCAAGGTACGGATAAATCGATCCTGGGCTTGAGTTGTCGCCCTTGGTCAACCTGAGCGTGGTCTGTCCTGTACAGATTGTGTATCACGGTATCTGGACCATAGCCTGCTTATGACAGACTGAGAAACATTCATCGTCCGCGCCACAACCGCCTGTGTTGTGCCGATCTGTAGCATGCCAAGGGCACGTAACCTTTCATTTTGGGTAAGCCGACGCATATCAAAATTTGTTTTCTGGTCACTAAAACAATTAAACTGATGTTTCCACCCTGGAATTCAATGCCACAATGACTGTAACATTCAAAGTCAGAGTCGTGCAAATCTTGGGTTGGACCCCCATGATGATCCCAAGCATCACCTGCATTCCATGCGGTAGCTATTGGTGCGTTTGGGCGTCACATGTAACTGGAAATGTTTCTTCTGTTAGGTTCTATAGTGACTTTTTTCGTAGTCATTTGCATATTTTAGTATTATGCCCCCAAAATCAAATATCCCCTACTTTTTTTGAATAGTATATGCCATAACTGTAAGATTAGATTAAGTAAAAAAATTATTTTATTGTTTGTGAATCAGCCATTACTAATTACTTCCTTGTTGTCTTGTAGGATATGTTTCTCTTCATTTATACCAAATGACACCCGACACCAAATAATAACACAACTCTGTACTCGCTGATTATAAAAGTTCATTGTGTCTTAAAGGGTGCAGGCTGTTTCGTAACCTGGCTGTTTCGTACTTAGTTCATTCGTATCTCACTTCGTACCTCAAACTGATTCGTACCTTTTCCTATGTTGTTGAAATCAGTTGATTTTTTTTTTCTTTTTCAATGCATACAATTTGCTTTTTGTTATTAAATCATCGTAGCTAATTCTCGTTCAGCAGCCATTTTTATAAAAAAAATGTTCTTTTCATTATTTTATCAGGCTGTGGTATATGGTTTAAATGTTTCATATTCATGTAATTATCAATGCATAAATTTCGCTTTTTGTTATTAAATCATCGTAGCTAATGCTCGTTCGGCAGCCATTTTTATAAATTTAGTGCAGCCGTTGAATTTGAACAAATCGTTTAATTATGTTTCACCTTTATTTCAATTTCTTTCAAACACATTTAGGAAAACAAACTAATCTTGTGCATATTCTAATTATGGCTCTGCAGCCACTCTTATAAATTTACCGTAGCCGTTGGATTTGATCAAATCGTTTCACCTTTATTTCAATTTCTTTTAACTGATTTCAACAACATATAGGTAAAGGTACGAATCAATTTGAGGTACGAATGAACTAAGTACGAAACAGCCAGGTTGCGAAACAGCCGACATCCGTCTTAAATATTTGATTAGGATCCCATACTTTCATAGCAAGATAACAACATCATTACAGATTGAAATGGACAAGTAGTGAATTATAATCTGTGTTTTTAATTTGTAATATAATTGAAAATATTGAGTTAGAGGTTTCGTGCCATTAATTTATATAATTAACAGAGAAAGTTCCTTGGTGATTCCAGCCTAGTTGACTGTGGTGCAGAAAGGAAATCCTTGCAAGGAAAGGTGCCTAGTTTTTCAGGCCCATATGTATATTTATTGGCATGTCTGTAAAAGAACCATTGACCTTTTAATACTATTACATGTAGGCAAAAACACTGGACAAAATATCGCTCATAGCACACTACATGTATGGTGTAACCTCGTCTTCATTAACCCTGTTAGTGCTGAAAAATAGGACTCAATTCATTTTATTATTTTAAAAAAATAGACAGAAGACAAGGTATCAATGGATGTGTGTGGTGAATGCTCTTTCTTACATTCAAGATGGGGTGGGGGGGGGGGAACGAATGGTTATCATAAGATTTGTCATTGAGTCAACTGACATGGTTTCGATTCCCTTGCTGTACGTGACAAGGAGTAGGGTCGTCTGTCCAACCTCGTGGGTTTTGAAATAAAATTGAACCATATGTTAATCCCGAAATGACCTAGTTTGTGTCGAGCGGATGTTAAACCCCATTTCTATCCCTCTCACTTACATACAGTAAGAATAATTACTATGCTCTGACATACTGGTTTGTTTCGTTTAATTCGTCATGGTTACTGGTTTTATATAGTTTTCAGGTCTAGAAGATAGCATATATGGTGAAGAAACTAATAAATTCACAAACGCACTGGGAGAGACAATCACAATTAAACTTTGTTCAACCGAGACTGAAACTCAGTCATTGCTTGGTAAGATATGGTAGTGTATTATTGAATACTAATCTTTTAATATTTCTTTATAGTCACTGATTATCATTTGATGGAAGCCTGCATTGGCCGAGAAAGTTCATCAGGATTTTCCCACGTGGTTTCCCCTTTTTCCCCTTGTGATAAAATTGAACCATATGTTAGTACTGAAATGACCTAGTTTGTGTCGAGTAGACATTAAACCCCATTTCTCTCTCTCTCTACCTTACTCCTTGTCAGGTACAAGCATGGGTTTAAAAACACGCAACATCACTCAGTGACAGACATTATTTAAAGCACACATATTAGATTACTCAGAAACCTTGTATCACCACTAGATGCAGTGATAGACCTTATGATCTAAAGCGAACACATTTAACCACCAGGTCACCCAACCCTTGTTATTTTGTAACGTTTTGATATGTGCTTGGTTTTATAAATGTTTCAGTGAAAGTTTTAGATGGTAATAATAAAGCAGCAGGTTTATTAAGTCAGTGTCTACACAGTACAGTATGTTTACCTATAGATGAGAGAATACAACAACTTACGCACACTATTGATAAAGATGATATTGGTGTATGGATAGATCCTATAGGTAAATATAGATATTGGTGTATGGATAGATCCTATAGGTAAATGTAGATAGATCCTATACATGTATAGGTAAATATAGATATTGGTGTATGGTATAGATATTGGTGTGTGGATGGATCCTGTATCGGTAAATATATAGATATTGGTGTATGGTATAGATAGTGGTGTGTGGATAAATCCTATATTGGTATATATATAGCTATTAGTGTATGGATAGATACTATATAGGTAAATATAGGCAAATAGATGCTCAAAATGCACTAGAACTGACTTAATCTGACACAAAAATCACTAAAACTGACTTAATCAGATGCAAAAATTCCCAAATGAAGCCTTGTGTTTATTGTAAATAAAAACAGATTGCTAAATCTTGTTAGGCCTAAATATTTGAGTTAATACACAATCTGTATATAATTATTTAATGCACCTGTTAATAGGTACATACAGTACTTAATCACTCTCATTACACATAGATATCTGATTAATACACACTCTGTAATATATATCCACACATATTGTATATCACAGAGTCACACCTACTTAATAAATACACATACTCAATCATACTCACTACACAACTGATTACAAATTGTAATTACATAATAAAAACTAACTCTGCCTCCTCTTGCAGGTCTTTTTTTTAGGTTTATATGTTATATAAATTACTATTTAGACATCTATTCACATACCACTCTGCACCATAGACTACAGCACCACGGAAATCTACAGTATGGTTAAAAGACAGGTCAATTCATTCTGGGAATTAAAACTCGTTGAACTTGACACATACAGATTCCGACTGGATGACAAAATCTACACAAAGACAACACTCAATCATCCTAGAAGAGATATTTGTAGACTTATATCGAAACTAAGGGTGAAAGAGCGGCTGCGAGGCTACAAACACCAAGTCATCGTCTGTGAGTGCGGAGAAGAATGTACCACCAACCATGTCCTGGTAGACTGCGAGGTATACAAAGAGGAGAGAAGGGAACTATAGTGAGAATGATGGAGACTAACAACATACCAATCAACACTAAGAACTTACTCTTCCCGAGACCAGATCTGAAACTGCAAATCTTCAAACAAATCCATGCCCTAATGGACACAGTTGGACTAAGTAGAATAGTGAAGTAAGAGGGGGACATGGTTAGACGGGCTCGGCATCTAAACACTAAATTACATAGGAGATTTATACCAAACTGGCAGAATAGTGGAGTAAGGGAGAGTCACGATCAGACGGACTCAGCATCTAAACACTATTCCGGCAAAAAATAGACATCAAACCTACAGAGTGGGATAAGGGAGTAAGGGGAGGTCACGATAAGACGGGCCTGGCACCTAAACACAAATCCCACAAAGATGACATCTACCAAACTAGCAGGATAGTGGAGGTCACGATAAGACGGGCCTGGCACCTAAACACTAATCCCACAACGAAGACATCTACCAATCCAGAAGCAGAAGAAAACATCTACCAAACAATATGTTTTTTACTAAAAAAAGGGAAGAACTTCCCACAAAACCCAATCCAAGGCCTAAGGCCGAAAATGGAAAGATTGCAAAACCAGTTTCCTCCCATTTTTATTAACTCCTGCATGTGACTTATTGAAATAGATTATACCAATTTTTAATCGGGGAAATAACCTAGTATCAAGTTGGACCTTAAACCACATTTCTCCCATCAGCCTCTATCTAACACAATCAGTAGGGTGGCCCACGCACCTACAGAAATACAGTCCACCGCTGATAGTTCGAGACTACCACTGAAGCGTGCACATTCGCCGTGTCGAGGCCAACTTTCTGACAGTATGATACTATAAATAGCCATGGCACGTGCAATTCTCTACAAATCTATCAACTATTACAGCCGTAAAAAAATTATTGTTGACGATTTTGAATAGCAGTGAAATTAAGCTTCTTGGTTATTACAGCAGATTTAGAAATTACGTTCGTTTCATTTTTTAAATCGCTTTATCATTAACTGTACCGTTAAGAGCGGCATCTTTTGGTTTAGTACAAATAATATCTCAGAAACACTCGGGTTAGACAGGAACATGATACTAGCAGTAGTTTCATTTTACTTTTACAAGCTTCTTAAAACAATTGTTGAGCTAGCTAACCTGCTCATTTCTAAATTCAATTTCTTGTTCTAGCTTTCTGTTATGTTTCGTAAAAAAGTAGTCTTGATTATCCCGACCTGTCAATCAGCCCTAGAATGGTCGATAGACTGGTTAAGCGAGACTAATTTTAAAACAAGGGCACGTAACCTATCTTTTACTCAAAAGTGTCTGGATGTTATGGACGACACATGGAACCAGTTTTCAGTCTATTATTTATAGATGATTAATGGTCATAGCTTATTAAGTACAACATGATCGTTTATTTAGTGACTATAATTGTGTGAAACTGATTTGAGGCTTGGCATATATATAAATATTGTGGCGAAATTGTCGAGATATATGGAGATATTTATTTATGGTGGGTCACCCTACAATCAGATTCTATCTAACACAGTCAGATTCTGTCTCACAGTCAGATTCTGTCTCACAGTCAGATTAAATTGTTTCAATGGTATTTAATAATTGAACTGGAATACACAGTCAGATTCTAACAATGTCAGATTCTATATAACACTTTCAGGTTCTATTTAACAGTCAGATTCTGTTTAACACAATCCGATTCTATGTAACACAATCAGAATCTGTGTAACAAAGTCAAATTTTATAGAACAAAGCCAGCTTCTATCTCACAAGGTCTGCTTTTGTTTATTTCAGATTCCACTAATCAATATATACAAGGTGATATAGGTGTAGAGAATGATATGGGTATAATAGATGAAGGTTTACAATGTGTAACTGTATTAGTAGGAGTATTTATAAAGTCTACAGGATTACCTATATTAGGTGTGGTCATACAGCCCTTTAATAACTACAATACCCAAACTCAACAGTAAGTATTACATACAGCCCTTTAATAACTACAATACCCAAACTCAACAGTAAGTATTACATACAGCCCTTTAATAACTACAATACCCAAACTCAACAAAAGTAAGTATTACATACAACCCTTTAATAACTACAATATCTAAACTCAACAAACTGGCATGTAAAAAGAGCCCTTAACAGTTGGAATTCAATATAAGAGTAGGCTGTAGTGCCGCTGTCTGGGCAAAATGTCCCTGTTAGCACACTGTATGGATGAGGCCTGTCTTCATTAGCACAGTCAACAGTAAGTATTAAATACTGACATTTGGGGTATTTTGATTTATTGGAAATAGTAAGTCCATTATTCAAACTAATATTGTAGCTAGCCCTCCCTATTGAATTGGAACAGTGGATTGGATGGCCGAATGGTTAGCATGTGCGCGCTGTGTCATAAGGTCTGTCATTGAGTCAACTGGAGGGGTTTCGATTCCCCAGTTGTACACGACAAGGAGTAGGGTCGCCTGTCCAACCTGGTGAGTTTTCTTCGGGTCCACCGGTTTCCTCCCACTGCTAAAAACCCCTACACGCGAGCAAATTATTGAAATAAAATTGAAACATGTGTTAGTCCTGAAATGACCTAGTTTGTGTCGAGTGGATGTTAAACTCCATTTCTCTCTCAATCCCTCTCTTGAAATGGAACATTATTTTTATTTCTTCTTTATTTGATAGATGGAGTGAGAAGATAATATGGGGTATATGTTATAATGATATCAAACTATCATCTCTGACCACACCCACCACTGCCAACAATACCAGAATTATCATGAGTACAAGCGAAGACACAGAAGTTAAAGAGAAACTCAGCGATAATTTTCAATTAGATTTTGCTTCTGGGGCTGGTTACAAATTAATCTGTTCAGCACTAGGATGTGTTAGTGCCTACGTGTTGAGTAAAAGCAGCATATATAAATGGGATTGCTGTGGACCCCACGCCATTTTACTGTCGCTGGGTGGAGGAATCATCTCATTTAAACAGTTAATGGAGGCACAAAAATCAGACGTTAGCCAGCTAAAACAGGTTACTTATAATCATTCACAGAATGCAAATAGTTTTGACGGCATCATTGCATATAATTCTTCACAGTCCCTATCTCAGATTGTAAATTGTTTAAAATCTTAGACAAAAGTTGGATTAATATGCACTGGGTTTGAAGATAAGACTTGGGGACCAAAATTTTTTGTTTGGAGTCAGACCCCAGTTTTTTTTTTACTCAATTTTCTATTCTTAATTCTTAATTAAATATAAATAATTGAAATTCTTAATGCCAATCTCATCAATCTCGTTAGTCTCGTGTTATATTTTTAACATAAATTTGGTGGCAAATCTCTTTAAATTCTAAGCAAAAGAATTTGATTTATATATACCGGTAGATCTATGCATTTTTAATTTTTTAACACATAATATATTTTATAATATAACACATAATATATTTTACTTAATTTTTAAAATCTCCACATTCAGAATAATTATCCAAGTATCTTGTCATGAAACCTATCCTGTCGATTGTATGTTCTGATATATCCGTAGTGTGACATACCTAATTCAATCAATTTTAAGAGAAAACTATGACTAATCCATGGAGCCACAGTGACTCAGTGAGTAAGATGCTGGCTCGATAACATGAAGGTCCCAGATTCAATTCCAGTGTTGGCCGAGAAAGTTCCTCAGGATTTTCTGGCGTGGTTTCCCCTTGTCAGTGCTGCAAGTTGGAGAATCTGGCAAGGAACATCATTTAGTCATTCGAATGGGACAAAAAAACAAAAAACCTTTTGTGTAAGCTTACACGTTGGCAAATCACCGTCTTCATGAGCACAGATGGAGTAGAAAAGTAGGGCATTAAGCCCCATTTAATTTCATTTTATCACTCAATAACACATTCTACAGTAGATATCGCTTGTGTGATAAATTTCATAATATACTGTGATATCACGTGTTGTATCATAAAGCTGTCATTGAGTCAGCTGGCGTGGTTTCGATTCCCCGATTGTATGTGACAAGGAGTAGGGTCGCCTGTCCAACCTTGTGGGTTTTCTCCGGGTCCTCCGGATTCCTCCCACTGCGAAAGACCCCTACGCGCAAGCGAATTATTGAAATAAATTTGAACCGTATGTTAGTCCCGAAATGACCTGGTTTGTGTCGAGTGGACGTTAAACCCCATTTCTCTATCTCTATCTCATTATCTATATATGCACATTTTTTCGTTACCACAAAGGAAAGCTTTAAGTTTTTTTACACTGAAAATCTGCAAATTTTATTATATTTATTGTATAGAAATTATTTAAAAAGATGCATTATGTAAGAGCTAAATCTGCCTATTGCAGAACTTTTTTCTGGCTTAAAATGTTATATAAATTATTTTTTAAATATTTATTTACATGGCAAACCCATAATGAACTCTCTTGGCCATTCCATGGCGATGATTTTAAAGGACAATATTGGTGCCAGTCATTATCACATATGTGATAGAGCTGGTTAAACATATTCCAAATATAATTTTAACACAGAGATAATTGCTACGATAGCTGAGTAATACATATTTTCTGAATCGGAAGTGACGAACGCCAAAGGAAAACACGAGTCATCTCTCTATATAACTGACTGATGTGACGAGTGATAACGGATATACGGGCGAATTTCTGCTCACTAATAATTCCCTCGAAGACCAAAAGTTGTTGTGTAAGATTGTCAGAGGATATCTGACAATTCATAAAAAGAATTAACTGCCACTAAATAAGTGAACACGAAAGAAAAACAGAAAAAGTCTCTGCATTACCATGTTTTTATAAGGTATAGAAATGAATATAAACAAGGGAATGTATGGACTATTTCTATTTTTCTCGTGTTCTCTTATCTAATGACATTCAATTACTTTATTGAATTGTCAGGTATCCTCTTACAGTCCCATATAACAACTTTTGGTCTTCGAAGGAATTATTAGTGAGCAGAAATTCGGCCGTGTATCTGTTATCACTCGTCACATCAGTCAGTTTATATAGAGAGATGACTCGTGTTTTCCTTTGGCGTTCGTCACTTCCGATTCAGGAAACCTGTATTACTTAGCTATCGTAGCAATGATCTCTGTGTTAAAATTATATTTGGAATGTGTTTAACCAGCTCTATCACATATGTGATAATGACTGGCACCAATATTGTCCTTTAAGTGTAGATTATCTATTTTTTAACTATTATAACAAGAATGGACTGCTCTTTCTCTAATTCTTACATAATGCATCTTTGAAATACCTAATTTAAGTATATTTATTGTATAGCAATTCTTTAAAATACCTAATTTAAGTATATTTATTGTATAGCAATTCTTTAAAATACCTAATTTAATTGACGGATGAGGTAAATTGTCAGACCACTGGTTTCGTATTTTGAATTTGTTATTTATTTATTTTAATATTTGTTACTTATTATTATATGTTATTGTATATTATACAGGTCTATCATTTAACTATGCTAAGATGCTGAGCCAAAATAGCCAAAACGGGTACCAAGTCAACCCGCCACACCAGTGAGTCAATCATACATATGATTTAGATTTAGTGTAAATATGATGCAGGCAGTCTAATGCATTTAATATCTAAGCCATCTGATGGGTTAGAGAGTTGATTAGGGCCTGGCATGTGAATAAATGTTTAAATAATAATTTATATAACATTTGAAGCCCAAACAAAGACCTGTAATAAACAGATTTAGCTCTTGCATAATGCATCTTTAACAATATAAAGAATTTTACTCTAATGTGAGGTTACCATAAGAACTATAGATTCAACTGTATTTTTTGTGTTTTAAGGTAAAAATCTTTGAAGTTTTTTTTTGATGGCATGTAAATTGACTAACAGGTAAATTCTCCAGACTGTTAATTTCCCTGTCAGTCAATCAGAACTGGCAATTATAACTGTAAGGATACGCCTCGGCTCGTAGCCATTCTACTGGCTCTAAATTGATGTGAAATAAACCACTAATGGAAAATGGCTCTTGAATGAAACCTATGGCGAATTGTCAGTCCCAGAAATGGCTATAACAACCAAAGACCACCTACAGCTACAATTTTTAAAACACGCATATTATATAATCTATTTTTACACTATATATTGCAATATTTATATATACCTATGTCTTTATATTTTTATTTGTTGTTTAGTTATTAGGTGCCAATGGAACCGTTATACAATATGATAGAAATGACTAGTCTCCACCCAGTTTGGAATATTAGTTTCGGGAAAGTCTATTGTCGGGCTGGTTGGAAGGGTAGTGGGACCGTTTTCTTACGGAACAATCCATGTGACGTCTAACCCTAACGTTTTTCAGCAATACAATAAACATTGCATAAATTCTGGACACAGAGAACTACTGTCTTCTCTACTTCGAGAATACATCTCTGCCCTGAATGGCTGCCATATCCAAAAATTTGTAATGCAGTTATACTCCGTTTTACATCTGGCATATACACAAAGGCTAATAAAACCTTTAGATTTTTATTAAATGGAAGCATAATAAATACTATTCAAAATTATCGAAAAGTAATATTTATCCAAAGGGGTAAATAGCATTTACGGTAATTGACAGAAGGGACCATGATTTCGACTAAAATCGTCGATTTAGGACTTAATATGTCGGTCAACTCAAACGGAGCTAATTGTAGGCAAACGGTGTAAGTTTAGTAAAGACATTGTACAATATCGGAAGCGTTCGGGAATTTCCGGCCTCACCAACCACCTGACAATAGACTACCACTATTTTCACGTAGGCCTACTTTAAAGCAAGTATTTTGTACATCATATAACTGACATACAAAATACAATTTAATTCACAAGACAAACCATCCACAGCCATTCTCATCGACAAGTTATTTAAAGTACTAAGCGCTCGGCTCTTTTCCGGGCCGTTTGGTGGCTTATGTAAAGATTGGCGCATGGTTTGTCTTCAAAATTGACCTGAATTTTTCGGGACCCATCGGTCACCGTGGTTTTCCTTCGTCTTTGATGGAGTCTGTCAAGGCACAATGTCTAGTCGTTTGGGTGGAACGATAAACCAATGTCCCGTGTACATAATGTATTATGTAAAAGAAGCTTTTGATAGTTGGAATTCGATTAGGGGGAAACACCGTTGGTTGCCCGGGCACACTTTCACTCATTATACAATACATGACGTATGTACGTCTGGTGCAGAACAAGTTGGATGTTAAACCCCGTATCATTGCATACTAAAAGTAAAAGAATACAAGACGCATGACACCACCCCCTCCCCTCCCTTCTCACGAAAAGACTGCTATTTGTAGGGCCTATTGTGTTGGGGTTGTCGTGGAGAGAGTGAAACTCAAAGACTGTCCCCGTTGCCCATGGTGGTACAAATTATCTTCGCCACTTTGTTTTGTTTATGCTAACTAGTACCTGATTGTGATTTTAGTAGACGGCCCGATTTATTCTGAATGGTCAAAAAGTTGACGGGGACATTTATTTAATTTATTTATTAATAATAAGATACGAAATTAGATATTGTTGTTTATTTGTTGTTTGTTTTTGTAAACATTTTATTCATTGTTATTGAATGGAATATGATCGTATAACAAGTCATCTATATAGTTACTAAATAATATTCTTACAAATAAACACATCTCTATGTTATCATTTTACACTTCAGTATGGAAACATTCATAAGTTCCTAGTCGTTCCGGTGGGACGAAAAACTGAGGTTCCTTGTACACATTGACTTGCACCTAAAGATCCTCTGGCAGTTGGAATTCGATAAGAGTAGGTCGTAGCGCCGCTGTCCCGGCAAAATATCCCACATTGCACACTGTAGGGCGTGTATCCGTCTTCATTAGTCCAGTGGGGCAAAACAGTAGGACGTTTAACCCCATTTCATTCATTCATAAGTTTTATCCAATGGTTGCATCACATCGGCCTATACAATGGTTGTATCACATCAGCCTATCCAATAGCTGTATTGCATCACATCAGAATATTAAATGGCTGTATCACATCAGCCTATCCGGGGTTTTATCACACCGGCCCTATGAAATAGTTGTACCAAACTAGTCCTATGAAATGGTTGCATCACGTGGCCTATCAAATATCTGTGTCAAATGAGTCTATCCAGGGGTTATATCACATCGGGCCTATCCCGGGGTTATATCACATCAGGCCTAACCAGTGGTGTATTACATTAGTCTTATCAAATGTTTGTGTCACACCAGTCCTATCAACAGATTATATCAACCTAGATGGTTGTTTCAGTTCTATCCCGTGGTTGTATCACATTAGTGCTATTCAGTAGTTGTATCACCCTAGGGCCTAGTCATATCAAATGGTTGTATCAGTCCTATCCAGTGGTTGTATCATATCAGTCCTATCCGGTGGTTGTATCACATGCGTCCTATCCAGTGGTATCAAATCAGTCCTACCCAATATTTTATTACATTAGTTCCATTCAATAGTATCCTCAATCCCAACGAACGATAATATCTGATGGTTGTATCACATAGGAAATATGTTATGATTCAGCCAAACCAGTCCTATCAAATGGTTGTTCCACATTAATCTGTTCTATTAGTAAGTGCAGGAGGACCGCACTACACGTAAAACAAAAGTCTACAAGATAAACCTGCGGACAAGACAGAAAATAGACATTGCACCAAATAAACAAATATAATATTGTAACATATTACATGGCCTATCAAATGATTGTTCCACAATAATCTGTTTTATGGTAGCATATTACATGGCCTATCAAATGGTTGTATCACATCAAGTCGTGTCAAAAGTTTGCCAGAGATATGTGCGGCCTATATGGCTCATTCTAAATATCACATAGTGCACAAAAACTTAAGTCAAAATGGGCTCCGTTGAAAAACTGAAATGGTTCGACTTGGAACATGAAAGTAAGCAAATTCACTCCATATCCTCATCTGATGAATGACTGCTATCTTCCCTATCAGTTGCGGTACAGCTTCGAATCCTGTATCTTAGGTATAAGACTCTGTCTGCCTTTAGACGCGCGTACTCGTAGTAAGCGTTTCTAACACCTTCAGCGCCGGACATCCTGAGTCGGATATTGTAGCGAAATGAACGCATCTGGTCCCTTCTGGCTCGGTCGTAGCGGACTTGCAAATCTTTGAGTTTATTGTTAAGTAAAACTACTTGTTGACATGCTCGGCGGAAACGATACTCTGTCTCAGACAATTCAACGTAAAGTTTCGAAACAGTTTCCATTTTACTGGTCGGAAACTTGGTGGAGGTCTTAAAAGAATAATGAATAAAGCCACAATTCTGAATGATGCTTCCATTTCCACCTCAACTATATAGGCCTATAGCCTACCTATCTGGAGTGACGTCACTTTCTCTTCTTGGCATTCCTTGACACTTTGTGTATTATTAGGTTGGTGATTGTTTTGATTAGCATATTGTCTCCTCATTACTCAGCAATCAACATCACTTGTCGCCATGACAGCTTTATGATCGAATCTTGATTGCTATGATTGATTTAATTAGCATAGTTATTTTTAGTGCAGGTATTCCGTGCACTAACAAACCAACATGATTTATATTTAGCACAAAATAGAATAGTGAACTATGCCAAGTCAGTGAAAGATGAATTTCACTTCATAGATCTTTAATCCCCCTAGTTTGTATCGAGTGGACATTAAACCCTCTCTCTCTATAGTTTACGTCTATGAATTTGTCTATGTATTGTGTTAGTATTATTGTAAACGATGATATGTTTATAAGCCATAACTCTATGACTTACAGTGGGGTTTGATAGCCGAATGGTTAGCCCGTGCGCGCTGTATCATAAGGTCTGTTATTGAGCCAACTGGCGTGGTTTTGATTTCCCGGTTGTAAGTGATAAGGAGTAGAGTTGGCTGTCCAACCTCGTGGTTTTTATCCGGGTCCCACGGTTTCTTCCCACTGCCCAAGACCCAGACGCGCAAGCGAGGCATTTCCCCCCCCCCCCCCCCATTAATCTGGTCTGCCCTCTGTTTGCCCCACCAATAATTTTAGAAAATAAAAAAAAAATATTTGTGATACGTTTCGGTAATCAATACCTTCTACGGTGAATAAATCCCACATCCCAACTCAGTCATAAACTTGCATGTTGTAGAGCATTTCCGACAGTCTATTTTTCAAAATTTTCTTGGCAAGGTCCCCAATGGACTCGCTACTTCGGCGCTCACAAGGGGAATTCGTTGAGGTTCGCAAGTCCGTTCGTTTGACATTGTTTTCTCTAGTCGGATAAACTAGTGATCAGGCGACGAACGGTATCTGGGCAGATCTATTTATCTCGACGATCGGTGCCTGACAGAATACTGTAAGACAGCATTTCCGGCAGTCTATTTTTCAAAATTTTCTGGGGGTGGACTCCCTACTTTGACGCTCCTGAGTGGGCTTCGTCGTGTTCGTTTGACACTTTACCTGATCGATCAGTGTCTGAAATAGTGCCTTTGCCCCCTTAACCTTGGACTTTGCCCCAGCTTTGCCCCTCCAATCACCGACGACTGGCGCCGCCACTGGTTCCAGATCTATCGTCTTAAAGGGACAATAACACTCTTGCTGGCTTGACAGCTCCAAAAAACTAAAAAAAAAGCCTTATTCTAAGTACTAGATGTGTTAGTGTCTTACCTGTTGTGTAAATTATCCATTAAATCATATTTTACTTGTCCAGAGGGTTCAAAAATATTTTTAAATCCAAGTCACATTTGAAAAGCTTTACGTCAGGCTTTTCAAATCATTTAGTTGAATTTTTCCAATTTTTTTAAATTAGGTGTGTTAAGATGAAATTTGTATCATCAATTAATTGGAATATTGTAAAATAGTGCAATTTGTTGACCAGAAGAAAGATTGGGACATATTATTCAGTTACAAGAGTGGTATTGAGCCTTTAACATGTTTAAAAGACAATTAGCAAGAATAATGTTAAAAGCTTTCCTTTGAAGAAATATTATTAACATCTATATTTACAATTTCTCTCAGATATCTGAGTAGGTACCAAGGTCAATTAAAAAATAGATTTCATTTACCACACATGATATAAAAGCAATTTTTTTTAAAATTTAGTAAACTGATTCGAAATAAAATAAAATGTTCGCATTACCGCTGTGAATCAGTTTGGCAATTTATCAGTAACCGGCCCAATATTCATTAAACATACATTATGCAAGAGCTAAATCTGCCTATTGTAGGTCTTTCTTTAGGCCTGAAATGTTATCTAAATAAACTATTAATTAGACATTTATTAACCCATCCAGACCATAATCAACTCTCGATGGCACCCGATGCTCGAGATTTTAACTAGATTAGAACGGTTCGCCATTTAAAAAATTAATTTAAAAATGGGAAACCGAGGCTAAGTCTCGAATATACCAGTGCCCTCGTTACCACTATGCACACATCTTGTCAAAACTACAAACGGTGATAACTTGGCTCAGAATGAAGTAATTTGAATGAAATTTTCAATATATTCATTTTGTAATATCTATGTTTGAGCTATTATAGTAAAAATGGTCAGCTCTTTGTCTAAATCTTACATAATGTATCTTTAATTATTGTTGCGTTTTCAGCAGTATTTGTATCCAGTCCAGCGGTCCATTTTTTACCTAGCTGTTCTAGGCCATCGGACATTACCCGTATGGCAGGTCCGCCCGTACAATTTACAGAGTAGTTATAATTATTGTTAATGGGCAATTTGTTACTATAGCATGTGGTTTCGTTTTCTTAGCCAGATATAAATAACTATTAATATATTCCAGTGTAATGCTATTTTGTTGAACGTGTGATACAGGTAGATTGAAGTCACAACCGACGAAAGATCTGTAGCTTAATCTCTAACTTAAAGCGAGAATTTCATATTTTCTAAGAAAGTCAAAACATAATTATTTCTGTCTTTTGCTCAATAGGTTATCAACTCACAATTATACGATCATGGGCATTATTTCCCACCCTTAAAAATCATTGACACACGAAATAATTACACAATTACCTCCCTTGTTTTCCTATTACCTCCATGGAATAGCTATGTTCAAACGTTCGAATTTGAAGCTGAAAATGATATTTTTGCCAATTTCTCAGCTGGCAATAGTGAATTATAGGATTAATAGGATTATTCTTTAACAAGGTGGACTGTTTATGGATACCATCTATTTTAAGGCTTTATTTTAATAAATTTTTAAAATATAACTTAAAAATATGAAATTGTAGCTTTAACGGTGACAACATTGCGAGCCTAATTATTTGTTTGACATGATCTACAGTGCTGGGATTTTTAAATCCAAATCGCGGTTGTTGAATATCGTACTGGGTTGCTAAATAAGGTGTGGTTTTAATATAAAGATATTTTAGAATAAGATTCAAGGGGATAGGGTATTTTTTTAGGTGAAAAAAGAGTTGCTTCCCTTATATCATAATGAAATGATAGTAAGTCTGATTATAACCTATTCATGAGAACCAGAAGGGATTTGAATTACCACCGATTCAGAAATGGTGTTCAGTTCAATATAAATGTCCCGATAAAAGGAAACGTAAACCAAAACCTAATATGTACGTTTGTTTAATTAAAGCGGAAATTGCAAATTTTCTAAGAAAGTCAAAACGTAATTATTTCTGTCTTTTGCTCA